AACACCTTACGCTATTATTCCAACGTCTTTCGGATAATGGAATAGTAGTCAACCCAGAGAAATGTGAATTGGGCAAATCAGAAATAATATTTCTGGGTCACATCATCAGACAAGAGGGTATTCTGCCTTGCGAGGACAAAGTTCGAGCAATCAAGGAGTGCAACGTGCCGTCCTCAATCAAGGAACTAAGGGCTTTTCTCGGTTTGGTTAACTTCTACCGACGTTTTATCCCTCACGCGGCAGAACGGTTACGACCATTAACCGATTTACTACGCGGTAATCCATGCAAATTAGAATTGAACGATACCGCACGTACTGCATTCTCAGAGATCAAAACGGCTCTCGCTGAAGTTACACTCCTCGCTTATCCTGACCCATCAGCCACGCTTAATATAGCGGTTGATGCATCAGATTTTGCTATAGGAGCCGTTATGCAACAGAATATCTCCGCTAGTTGGCAACCGCTTGAATTTTTCTCACGACGCCTTACTCCCACGGAGACGAGATATAGCGCTTTTGGTCGCGAGCTGCTTGCAGCGTACTGCGCCATCAGACATTTCCGGCACGCACTAGAAGGACGTCAATTCATCTTATTCACCGACCATAAGCCCTTAACGTATGCCCTGCATACCAAGTCTGACCGCTACTCACCACGAGAGTGCAGACATTTTTACTATATCTCACAGTTCACGACAGACCTTCGTCACATTAAAGGCGAGTCGAACTATGTTGCCGATGCTCTATCACGTATCCAGACGAATGCAGTTACCTTATCGGTGCTCGATCTTCCTGCTCTGGCTGCCGCGCAAGCAAACGATCCTGTCTGTACAGAAGCACCACAATCTTCGTCCCTTCAGTGCCAGGAAGTACCTCTAGCTACTAGCTCAGGTACTATCTTATGTGATACTTCTACCGGTCTTCCTCGACCCATCGTACCCTCTACCTATCGCCGTCTCGTCTTTGATGCCCTTCATGGATTGTCTCATCCAGGTATCGCAGCCACATTACGTCTCATCGCTGCACGATACGTCAGGCCGTCCACGAATAAAGATGTTCGTATGTGGGTAAGCAATGCTTACAGTGTCAACGATCAAAAGTGCACAGGCACGTAGCTACCCCCATTTGCACGATCGCTACGCCTGATGCTCGCTTTGATCACGTCCATTGTACGGTTGTCCCTCGACTGTCACGAGTGACCGAGGACAACAATTTGAGTCCGCATTATTCTCCTCACTGACCAGGCTGCTTGGTACGGAACGCATACGCACCACCGCCTACCATTCAGCATCGAATGGTTTAGTCGAACGGTTTCATCGTCAACTTAAAAGTTCTTTTTGAGCACACGAAAACGACAATTGGTACAAAACCTTACCGCTTGTTCTCTTAGGCACCAGAACGAGTTTGAAGGCAGATATCCAATGTTCCGTCGCTGAACTTGTATACGGTACGACATTGCGTCTGCCTGGGGAATTCTTCACACCACGAAGCAGTAATGATTTTGGTAAATCAGACTACGTCCATCGACTGTCTGCATTTATGCGAACGCTGTATCCCGTGTTAACTCGAATACAACATCGACAGGCCGCTCTCCCTCGAGAGTTATCTACCTGTTCACATGTTTTCATACGAGTAGACTTGGTACGCGAACCTTTGAGACAGCCTTACGAAGGACCTTTTCACGTGATCTCTCGTCATGAAAAGACCTCCAAGGTTGATCAACATGGCCGCGTCGAAGCAGTCAGCATTGATCGCCTCAAGCCAGCACACGTCGATGACAGTGTCCTACTTCACAATTCGAGACCCAATGCTAGACTCAACAAACCTACTAGCGGGATCTCTACATCTACTTCAGATCCCAAGCTAGATACATCAGAGACCTCATTCTCACGTCCCATTCAAAAGCACACGTCATCTGCACCATCCACGGACGAGACTTCGGTCTCACGTCCAGATCAGCAGACCACGCTGCTCTTGACTTCGGATGAGATTGCGGGTTCATGAGGTACGAACGAGACTACCGTCTCACGTTCCGGTCTCCGAGTACGATTACCCGTACGCTTTCGCGACTAACCAGTGACTGTTTTACTGTGCTCCTTTTTTTTACTGTACTAATGACAGCCATTTTACTTACTTACTCTCCCGTTGAATTTGAACTTGTACGAATTCGGTTACGCTCAGTAACCACGCTTGTACTCCTTCGGCACGATCTCGATATCTTTTCGATACCACGAGATCGCCAACAAATACATCTCGACTACAGCCATCATCTGTCTTCTGGCACGTAGTCTTGTAGCGGTGTTCATAGTCAAGTTCAACTCAACACCACGCTATATAGTGATAACAGTAAAATAGATATGGATCATGATGATGGAGTAATGAGAGTGAAGATATATAATAAAAGCTGTAAATAAGTGTAATATGTCGTTAGGATATTCATAAAGACATCACCAAAACAATTGTTATTACTTTGTTTTCAACTTAAGTTACAAGCAAAGCAAAGATAGAAAATTTATAGATGGACGAGAAAGAATAACGATTGAAATGTAAGAAACAACTTCAAACTCAGTATTCAGAATTAAACAACGAGTGGATGTGTCTGCACCATAGTGACTGAATTTCGACTTAGTCAACAAGTGTCTCCAGCAACGGACCACTATAATTTCACGAATATTAAACGAATGGTTTACATTCATCAACATTATTCAAAACAACAGTCAACCAATGCATGAACTGACATCATGTTTGGTTCGATCGCCACTGGCGTTCTTCCAAGACACCTCTACACTAGTTAACACAAGTCGAAACAACGACAACCGCTTCTTCCAGAAACTTACGGCTCGAAACCAAGCATTCAACCTGTACAAAGGAATCATTCGTTCATTCAAACACCACACGATCCCAGTAGATATGAGAATTATTAACAAAACATCCGTGATCAAAGACTAGTATCTTAAAAGAATCCTTCACACTCAATGGCCACATTTCACAGCTGTAAATTAGAACAGAATGAACTGCCGCGCAGTATAAACGTCGTTTAATTGATATCTCGCTTTCGCCCTGACCAGTTAGACGGGATTACGTCCACCTCCCAGATTTTGGCTAAAATATTAGTCAATCCGATCGCCAAAACACAGCCACCATAATTGAAGTCCTCTGGGGCCAATCCATGTGAACCAGCTGATATTCAAGCTTTCAGATTAGCCATAGGTTTTTGAACTTCAGTTATTGTCAGGGACCTATTCCAATATTCCTTTCAGGATGTTTGAGAACGGTGGGTAGCTTGTAGTGGATGAATGCCAGCTGCTTAAAGTGTTTTACCCATGGTTCAAAACGACTGGACTGAGAGCAGAAAAGTGCTGTCTTTTTCCGAGATAGTCTCACATATGACTTCTTAGTTCCGGTTTCTATTATTAGTCTGAAAAGCTATCAGATGTTACCTACAGTCGCTTTCGTCGCACACAAATTCACACGACCGTTCCGTAGACTTACTTAGACCTGACTCCTCTTCGCTCTTCATCGTGTTAGCAGAGTGATGCGATATGTCTCCGTGTCTATCAGAGCAATAGACGTAGTATGAACCCATCGCTCTTTCGTAACCCTTCGGGTTCAAATCACTAATAGATGTCGCTTCTGTTTCCACAGTAGTTCGTGTATCTTTCCAAGCAACATCTGAGTCAACCTCGCTTTCGAAATTGCATAAGTGTAAATTCAGTTGTTCCTTCGAATTTTTCATCGCTCATGGGTCGTCTTAATATGACTGTTCTGCGTCCAGTGAGGCGCTAGCAATCGTGTGCTCGTATTACAGCATGAACAGAGTTCACAACGAGAGGCAGCCATCTATCGACCCTCTCCAACGTTGAGTGGTGGCATAGGATCTGTTTGAGTCCATGATTAATTTGGTGTGACTGGACGCCATGTTAGACGATGTCTCTACTCACGCTCCAAATTAGTCCTTGTTATAAGTTGAGATGAGATCAATGCACGTATAGTGAAAGCCAGAGCGGCTTATGCCAACCTGGGCCACCTTTGGCGCCTTCGTGATGTCAGTCTGGCTGTAAAAGATCGAATCTACAACGCGTCGATGAGAGCAGTTCTGCTCCATGCTTGTGAAACCTGGCCTCTCCGAGTTGAGGATGTTAGACGACTCTCTGTGTTTGATCATCGTTGTTCTCGAAGGGTTGCTGACATTCAGTGGCAACACCATGTTAATAATGCAGAGGTTCAGTATCGTGTGTTCGGGCACAGAGACGATAATCTAATTGGTGTCACCATCTTGAAACACCGACTTCGGTGGCTTGGACATGTTTTACGAATGGCGTCCCAGAGAATTCCTCGTCGTGCATTATTTGCCCACTCTGGGACTGGTTGGACAAAGCGGAGAGGTGGTCAGTGTATGACATTATGTCGTGGCATGAAAGCTGCAAAGTACTGGCTCGTGTTGGTCCTTCACGACTCCCTGGCTGTGGTCCTAGAGATTGTGCAACATAGTGGCTCAAAATAAAGGCCATTGGCAATCCTGCTGTAACATTCTTCATAAAAGGCGGTTGCTTTTGCCTTAACTGAAAGAATTCTTCCGATTGTACCTCTTCGTTTCCCCCATTATCACTACTATCACTCTACCTCACACTACTCTGGTCGTTATTGTCCTGTTTTTTTTAATTCCCTACACTCCTTACCTCACTTGCATCAACCGGGCTGCAGCCAGTTGAAATGTAGGCAGAAATGACAAAAAGACAACGGCCTGTGCCCCTATCCTTCTGAGATTTTATGACGACGTTTAGGTGAACAGCACATAGGCGATTGTTAACAGAGACCCATTCTAACAATGCTCTTTCTGCTCTCTTATTTAGTGCTAAGCATACACCCCTAAGTCCACGAGAACTAGCCATCAAGTCGTCGGATAAATCTCGCCGGCTCTCCATTTTGGCGAGGTGAGTTCAAGTAAATGGCTACACTAGGTCTTGTATGTTTCAGGAAAAAAATAGAAAAACAACGTGGAATTACAAGGGAAAACCAGGAACGGTTTCACAACGATTGTCTAGTGTATTTATTATTTTATGAACGACAAATCAGGATATTGGAGCTAAAATATTCATAATGAAATGGACTACAATTGTGAAAAATAAAGAAGCAAAGCACAAAACACGAATTGTTACAATCCCATTTGTCATATCGTAAGCAACAAATATATACATAAACTGCATAGAAGTGATAATAGATAAAATAATAGCATACATACACAGAAACCACGTACAAATGTTTTAAACTAAGAAAGGAAACCAACGTAGACAGGATGGTGAAGTACAATTCTGGGAGATGTTTGGCCGGTAAAAAATGTTTATTTGTCTGAACGTAATAGTGGACTGGGAAAATAAGATAATCGATTTTTAGGCCATAAATAACGAAGTGACCCACCATCACATAGTTGTGAATTGCTAGTTGGAGATTGTAAATCATCATTATCATTATTTTCTGATATGGATGTATGAGTTTCTGTTTTGTTTAAATCGTACGTTTCATTCATCAATGTCTGAGTCATATGTTTATTTTGTTGTTCTTCATTGAAATTTAATTGTAATGCACGAGTTTTACGTTTAGGACGTAATATAACAGGAAATCCAGATGGTGGTCCCATAACAGTTGTAGAATTTTCAACTGAACTGAGTATTTTACTGTTTTCCGATGATGAATCTAAACGATTTTTACATAGACCTAGTACACAGTGACAATGTGATGGAACACACGGACGACTGGAACGTTTACAACTACATCGTGCTTGACATGTTCCTCGGCATTTACATCGAGGTTGATGTGAATCTGCATCAGTGTTTGACTAATTAATGGAAATAAAAATGAAATCATTTAATTATGATTTAACATCACTATGAATATATACAAATATTGTTACGTAAATACTTCGACATTAATCTATGAAGTGAACTCACTCTTGAATCGTCCACCCAGAACACACTTTATATCATATCTCAGTTCACGTTTTTATGTCAAGAAGTAAATGGCTGACAGTTATGATTAAACGTACAGGAAATATGAAATAGCTCACGTCACAACCATGAAGAGATAGAATATGTACGATATATATATATATATATATATATATATATATATATATATATATCAGATTTCAATCACAGAGACAAATCAATTCTAAAAAAAGTTTGGGAGAATCCTCTTAGATAAAAAAACTTTCCTGATCTGAGGTTAACAAGTGGCAACTAGCCACCCAAACGACCCTTATGTACCTAGAGATCCGTCCTGCACATTTAAATCCCCGGTCAACGCTACAGTAACCATCATATACGCTTTTTTGAGATCAATTAATTGCAGGTGAAACTAATCCTTAGTCACCTCGGGCTGTAATCTGTCGATATTTTCATAAAATCCTATTGGAAATCCATATTCGATGAGAGCAGTGAAGATTTAGACCGGTAGTAGCTTGAGTTTGTTTAGAAATAACGTAACTTTTTATTATAAGCAAGCTGCTATATGAGCTAGAATATAAGAATTAGCATTGAATGAATGGATAAAAACTATATTTCGTGTTAGTAATAAATTGGAGAAAGTATATCAAATCCATCATAAGTATTCACGATCGTATTTGCTAGTGGATTCAGTCACTGATCAAAGAGTTTTATTAAGGAGCGTCGTCAACTATTCGACCTAGAGGTCTAACTTACAAGACAGCCGACTACTCCAATGACCAACATCTCGCCTAAACGGAGTCAGTAGGTGGGATCTGTGTGATTATCATGACCAATGGTTAGAAGAACATAATGATATGGTGTAAAGTTGAGTATAGTGGTACAGATACACTTACTATATATCTCCCTTTACATCTTCATTTTCAGTGTTTCTTTATACGTACCTTCATTGAGAACCGTATTTTCAATATGTTGTCATTCATAGTATCATTACCACTACGATTACTTCAATTACTTAGCTATTTATCGAGTTAATTTTGTCACAGTGTTGATTTACTAGGAAAACATGGACCAAAGCACATTTGTGCTTGAGTCTACATCGATTAAAACCAACTCAATTCCTAAAGATTAAATGATTGCCACGAGTTGAAGGTTCAAGATTTGATTCTTGAAAGTATAATATATGTACATTACTTAAAGACTACATGTTAAGACAAAACAGTTGTTCAGTTTACTTATTAGATTTCTAGATAAAAGCCAAATCATGTTAACTATAGATTATCTCTACCTAAGTTTGTACCCATATTCTACAATATATCAACAGTACAAAAAAAAAAATCCTGTCTATCTAGACAAATATGGTAGGAGATGAAGAGGAGAGTGAATATTACACATTTACTTACATTAATATCAGTGACTACCGTAAATGGTAAACTCCATTCACTTTCAACTTTTTTAAATTTCACTCCTGGTTCGTCTCCATCATTAGTGTTTACATCATCACTGAAGTTCAGGGATTTATCGGTAAGAATATTTGTTTGCGGATATACATTCTCATTCTCATCATCACTCAACAAAGTAAATGTACAATTATTATTACTGTTATATTGACGAAGTACTGGGGTGTTTGATAATTTATTGTCAACAGTCAGTCCAGTAGTAGATGGACTATTCTAAAGAAAAAAAGATGAACAAATAAAAATATTAATCAAGCAACTGAAACTATCCAAAATATATAATGATACAGAGTACAAGTAACTCCGCGTAGAGCTAGTCCCGGTCCATTAGAACCACAGTTGACCGCAAGCTTAACGAATCTACTTTGTGATAAATAAGTTTACTGAAAAGAATGCCAAACATAGAAAACCAGTTAAACTCTTAGCTGTGACTTGAAGAAGATAATATATATAGTGTCGAATTCCGGAAGTCGAGATTTTTTGGAAGCCAAGATGCCGATGCTTTTTCTGACAACCGAAAACAATGACAAATAAAAGAAAGTGGGTTGTTTGAACAATATGAGAGACGGGATGAGTTTTTAAGACAGTCACAGAAATAAGATGAAACAATCTGGCTGTATTTGGAAGAATATAGTCTGGGTAGAAAAAACAAACATCAAAAAAAGTGTTGTCTTATTCTGGTCATGAAGCACAAGATGCTTTCCACATACAAGGAGTTGGCCCATAAATGCCTTGGTACGAATGAGGATGGGGATAGTCCGATCTCCCGCTCCAAATGCTCTCACATGGCCACATGTATACAGTCACTGTCAGGGAAGTCCTACTCACTGCCTTCTCGTGACGAGGGTGTTGTTTACGAAATTGAGAGGACGAAAAGCGGATGTCAGTTGCTTTAACCGGGTTGGTGGGTACAGGTTCACCCAGGGGAGTTGGAAAACCCTGATTCCAAACCAATGATGCACATGGGCTTCATGATCCTGAAGGAACAAATGGCATATGAACCAATCGTTGGTCAACGATTACAATGGGACTGCACCTCCCAACGTTGGCCCACTGCCTTGTGGATCAGACCTTTAGGACAAAGGCTCCGGGTATTCCTTCGCTAAGATAACTGCCTGTCTCTGTTTGGGCGCCCAGGCAGTATTCCAGCCCTCACACAAATCGAATGACAAAGTGTGGCGCATAGATATTTGGTGCCACTTTGTACCAGTGTTTATGTGTTTAAGTAAAAAATGCAAGGAGTTGAACTGATGCTCTCCAACGAAGCATGAACAACTCTCTTACGATGGACAACTCATGACTGCGTGATCATTAAAGCATCTTATAAAATAAAGGCGGACATGACTACAATGAATATCGTCCAGAGCTATCCAATCACCAACGGTAGGAAGGAAGATGAAGAAGACCAAATTCATGAGGTGTAGTTCATCCTAGAAAATGGTTAGGAAGAGATGTGACTATTCTGATGCGGAAGCAGAACTTCAAGGTCACAATGAAGAACACTGGTTATGAACTAATCATTGGTCGGCATGAGAGGGGAGAAAAGAACGAGAACTGGAAGACTAGTATAACTATGCGCTTTGAACATGGTTACAGGCGGCAGCATCTTCCCAATAAACGCATGTACGGAGTTATGTGGGTCTCACTGGACTACATAACGGAGAACCAGATCGATCACGTCTTCACCAGTAACATTCAATAGATCCATAGAAGACGAGAGAAGTAAATATTAGTGATTTTGAGAACCACAAAGGGGTTACACTATTGTCAAAGTTAGGCAAAGTTTGCAACTGAGCGTAACAGAAACGAGTGAAGGATTCAGAAATAACCCAACTAAGAGATCAGGATGAAGGCTTTTATAAGCATTGATTACGCACGGGCCAAATCGAAATATTGCAACTCAATGCTGAGCAATCAATCGAATAAAACGCATTGCTGAACAATAACTTCCTTGATTATGAGAAAGGATAAGAAAGAGTGGATTTTTTTAAAAGCTACGGAGTGCCTTAAAATACTTATACGGACCTCGTACGAAAGACTGAATTGCGAAATTGTGCAGGGAGGGTAGCTCACAAGTGTATTTCAAGTGAAGACCAGTGTCAGACAAGACACTATTGTATTCTCAGATCATTCATAACTTTGACAACGAAATGCTCACTACTAACAATAATAAACTATCTGTTCATGAGTAAAAAATCACAGTAAACTTACTGCCATCAATGATCTTATCTTCATTAAATTATCATGTTGAATTTTCGAAGCTTCTCGTAACTCAGCATTTTCTTTTTTTAACTGCTCAATGTGTTCATTAGAAGCTTGAAGACGAGATTGAATATCTTTCATCTAGATATGAACAAACAAGGATAAGACATTAGTAAGTACATGAATAGACTAGTAAAGATGGTTGGTATTTCCATACAAATGTTTTTGCAACAAGGAATGGTAAACTGAGAGTGGAATAAAGGGATTTAATAAAGAGGATAATAAATCGATTGATTAGAATGGGAATCTGTCCCGTTTGGTGTGTCTGAAATGTGTCAGGCATGTCCAGTCATCGATTGTACGACACTTGAGTAGATTGAAAAAGAAGTTTAATATGATTGGACTAATGAATAGCATCTGCCACTGACTGTTAGGCTGAGACTCTATTGGATGGCAAAGATCTCATTTTCCAGAGTTTCGCATCAAAATCGATACCTATGAATGAAAGCCATAAATTTGGTATAGATGTAGTTGTTCTGTTCTCTTCTCCATCAAATCTTGGTATTTTAATATTATTTCATAGTTATTATTGTGGTATTTCGCTTGTCTTATTCAACAGCATTTATTATTAATTTCAAAGACGGTGTTTACATTTGGATCATTTTTTCACTTCCTGAGCTGAAATGAAGTATGACATCTTAGAAAGATGCATTCACGCTCGCCAGCCGATTACATGCAGTTGATTATGAATACAGCACCAAACCGCAGTGATGGTGATTGATGACTAACCTCAAGCATTACTTTAAACGATCGTCACTTACTATTAGGACACTTTATATTTAACTTTTACCAAAAATTAGGAAAGACATTAAAAAGACATTGGGATTATTACGAAAGGTATGATATTAGAAAAAAGCTTTCGAAAATGAAAGAATATGTATTCCGTAAGTTATAAAGTTGTTGCAACCATAGAGAAGCATGGTTATCTATGGATGGGGTAATGAGAAATTCTTTCAAAGTGCTTTCTATTACACCAGCAACTGCATTGCTTAATGCGTATCTACATAAACATGTGGATTAGGATGTTACACTGTATTTTAAATGATGTTGGGGGGGGACAATGTACGAGTTTTGCTCTCTTAGTGGTGGTGAGACGTCATTTACCATGAGATCGCTATCTTTTTATTTCACTCTATTACTATATACTACTTATCAATATTCAGTAACCCATTTCATTTCCAAGAACTTTTGGCAGTATGTGACGTGCAACTGCAATCACAACGTTCTTGAGAATTTACATAAGCGGATTACATTCAGTTCATGGATTATGGTAACTGTATCTTAGTGACATTTGGAATAGATATTTTCACTCCGACTGTTTCTGTTAAACATTATCATACAATCAAAGATTCCATACTTTGGTGTTCTTTGTTCTTACTTTGAGAATCTACCACTGTAATTTCGACACAGCTATTAGCTATCTCATATCGTATGGTATTATGAATAACCGTGTACAAACTTGGCAGATACATCACGAGTTCGGCGCTATTATTGCATTTTTATAATTTCGTAATAATAGTATCTTCTTTCCAGTTAATGACTCCGTTTAAAGCTCTTCCAGGTTTATCGCCGATCGCAAGCACGCACAAAGGAGAAGAGTTGGTCATGTGATCGACAGTCCAATCGCGTAGAAAACAACTTTTCTAGAAATACATTAACCAGGTTAGACAAATTAGACCTTAAGACCCTGTCCTTCGAGTTCAAGGAAGAATTATGACACCTCTAAATGACAGATGAGATCCTTTGTAGGTCACCACGCTGATGCCCTTTCCAATAACCAGAATAACTATTAATATTGTTATATGGAATTTTTGAACAATGCTGGAGATCAGGAGGGCTAATCAATTAGTTACAGAAACGAAGAGATACAACTTGATGACTCTCCAAATCAGTGAACATCACTGGAGCCAAGCTCGACAGAAAAAAAATAGATTCGGGCGACACTCTGTTGTACTTCGATCACGAAGATCAGAATCCCTTTCACACTCAGGGAATCTCTCTGAAGCTATACAACCAAGAATGGGAATCTCATGGATCCAAAATCGTCAGAGCTTCTTTTAAAGGGAAGAAGACAGAAATCATGATGAATGTTATCCAATGTGTTGAATCCAACAATGATAGCAACGACGAGAATAGGGATCAGTTATACGAGAAGCTGCAGTCAATCATAGCGAAGAGCCCAAGAACGGATCTCACTATCCTGACAGTAGACCTAAACACAAAGTCGGAATGGATAACACTGGATATAGAAATATCCTGGAATGACATGGACTGGGAGAGAAACGGAAATGGGGAGAGATTTGAGAACTTATGTGAATTCAACAAAATGGTCATAAGTGGTACAATATTCATGCATAAACGCATATACATGGTTCTCAACGGATCACACTACACAGAACCAGATTGACCATATTTGTATCACTAAAAAATTCACAATATCAATGGAAGACATGACAACCAGCTGAGGGGTTGATGTTATGAGATCACCACCTAGTTGAGACCTAGATGAAACCTAAGCTAAAGAAACGCTTGACATCTGGAGAAGGAGAATTACGAACGTTCAATAGAGCCTTCCTTCGATATACTGACAAAATCAACCAATTCAACAAAGCTCTCAATAACAAGTTCCAAGACTTAAAATATTTGGTTTAGTAGGATGAGACTACGATGGAGGACAACTGGAGAGGGATAAAAGAAGCATTAACTTCAACGTGTCAACCGATTCTGGATTGCAAGAAGTAACATCGTAAGCAATGGATCACTATCGAAACCCCGGACAAGATTTAAGAACGGAATAACAAAAAGACAGAAGTCAACAACAGTTGAACAAGGACAGAGAACGTGAAGGCACAAGCTGAATACACAGAAACAAACAATCGATTGAAAATGAACATCAGTGCTGACAAGCAGAAACACATAGAAGACCTGACAACTACGGCTTCAACATAAGGAAATATCGGATAACTATATGACACAACGAAGAAACTGGTACGGGAATGTAGTAAAGCAGAGAGACCATTCCAGGGCGAATGAAGGCTAGCCGATCGCTGAAATTCAAGGACAGAGGAACAGGTAGGTGGAACACTTCGAGGAACTCTTGGATAGGCCAGCTCCATTGAATCCATCGGACATCGAAGCAGCACACACAGACCTTCCTATAGATGTCAACACCAACGATCGAACAAATCAAGAGTGGGAAAGCAGAAGAACCTGTAAATATACCGGCTGGGACGCATTGGAGTAGTTTAATTGTGTCGTCGTGTCATTGATACTTTGGCGATGTCGTGATCTCTTCAAAACCTAAGTTTTAAAATTATGCTAATCGAATTTCTTTGTGTAGTAGCATACTGACTAACGCTCTTCTTCGAGAAGGCACATATGGTATAGGATTTTTGAAACGACTTAAAAACTTTACAAATGGATACGAGTATTAGTGTTTCAGTAGGAAACTTGTCATTCCAACTTACATTCTCCTCAGATTTCAGTAATTCTACAGAATAATGCTCTGTAGTTTGAAGTAAATTTTCGACTTTTTGTTTCTCTGTATTTAATTGAGATTCCAATTCGTATATTTGAGTTTCTAAATTAATTTTAGAAACTTCAGATGACGATGCCTATGAAATAAACAAAAAAGCGGAAGAATAAGCAAAATAAAAAAAAGCAAAGAACTGTTGACTAATCAAATCAGATCACTATACTTTTATAGAGAATAAATGAGTGGAATCCATATCCTATTGGCATTACTTTGCGAAGCCTGCTTACAGAGTCGACATTCTGCTGTGACTTACATCATTGAATTAAAAAAAACAATAGACCTCGGACGTATGTTGTTATATGTCTGCCCAGTGACTACTTATATTCAAATGTAGCTTGACAATTTGGACAAATTCATCAATTGGTTAGTCTGGTTAGAAAAGCATAAAAAGTACAACCTACTTGTCTGAATAGATATTTCAAAGCTATTCGTGCTTCTTGGATGTTATGTAATTGGGATAAACGAGACGAGAGCATTTGACCAGTAGAATCAGGTGGACCGGATGCATCTGTCGACGATCTTTCACCGGCATCCATAAGTTTTTGTTGCAAATCACTAATCTGTTGTGTTTGACATTGGATTGATTCAGTAAGACTGTTCGCTTCTTCAATATACATATCATAAGGTTCACCATCTTGTCGGCAACTTTCCATTTTCGCTTCGATCGTGCGTAATCGATCACAAAGTGTTTTACGTGAATCCATAAAATGACTCAAATGATATCTAACAGCATCCATACTGATTTGGATATCTAAATCTGTTTTGACCCAAGCGCGAACTCGTGTAGCCAAATCGAATCTACTAAATGTGATAAGAATTTAGACAGTTTAAATTATGGAATGAACATTTACACTGAAAGTCACAAAAGAAGTTGTGCTTATAAAGCAACTGAATACAACAAATACCGACATTATGCGCGTAGTAGGAGTACCTGGTCAGCATAATAAAACTTGAAGCCTGACACACGGAAATAGATACATCATAGGTTAACTGTATGTACTCAAATATCTTATTGAGAGAGTGATGATAAACACAATAGAGAATAGAGCTGAAATCTGGCAAAATGTAGAGAAATTTTAAATGATGACTGTAAGACCTTTTGATATTGATAAGTCAATTTCAAAGGTCGGTATTTTTTCACCGAATTTACAACACTAACATAAATATGCAATCTATTGAGAAAACATACCATGAACATATATCCATATCCAGTTACATGTAGGTTAACTGTGTTTCAGTCTAGTCTACATGATTACTGTAAAATACACAGAACAGATAACTAGTCATAATTCACCACTTGGAAGTAAATGATTTTCCTAGAACTAGTGAATATAACCCGACCGTAGCTGCTACCTTGACGTGGTGGTCGGGCTTGCCTATCGTGATGACCCAACCGAGCTATATTGGCTGGAACATATGTTCCTGCAGGTTCTACCATGCCAGGCAGATCGATTGGAGAACGGTAAGACTAAAAACAGCAACCCAAGGTCTGAGGGCGAAGTCGTACTGCTGACTGTACAGAGGTGTGACAGCAGTAAGGTGTTTCCCTCGGACAACCAGCATCTGCAGCGATGCTGCCTTCTCACAAGGAAAGAAGGGGTTAGAAAAGGTTGACCCTAAAAATGTCACACCTCACCTACCCCACAGGTTTCCGTCTCCGGCGGTAAGACCCTTTGAAGAACGGAGCTAACACATTAAAAACCTCCCACAAGAAGGCCGTGCGCGACAGGCCTTAAGCAGTTGTCCCTTGGGCTCTGCGGTCACGCTCCCAGGTCTTCAAGACCAACACTAATCCGATTTCCTTTTCAGGTTCCTCAAGAAATACCCTTCCACGGTGTGGGCAATCGGAATCTCTCTGAATAGCTTGTTTTGTCAGCTTTACTCTTGATTGTTGTCAGTCTTTGGTCAATTATTCCTTATGTGGTTCCCCTTGATTTATTATTGCTTCAAAGGACTGATAAATTGATTCTATTTTAAAAAAATCTGTTGACTAAGGATTGATCTGAGAACTGAGATTCTAAATAATTTTCTGGTCTTCCTTCGGTTGCCTCAGTCCAAGATATTGTTCCACAGTCAAACGTGTATACTCAATCGCTTTCATACATTGACGTAAATGAAAATATGTCATGACCGTTAACAGGTAATTGGTATTCATGTAAAAAAGAGAGGAAGATGTACTTTTTATTGCAGTTGGAGCAGTAGTTTGTTTTGTACATGATATCCAACTTATTTTCTTATATTATTTCATTTTATGGTTTGTACAATATTTATCGAAATTATTTTGCATATTTATGAGCCATACCACCGAGTAAGTAATGCAGTTGTTAGGAAACAGATACTAGTTAAGGATGGCAAATCAATTGATGAAGTAGTAAAACTTAATCAGTTGAGATGGCTGGGACACGTGTTACATATGCCTAACCACCGACGTGCAATGTTTTATGGTGTAGGAGTAGGTTGGAAGAAAGCTAGGGGCGGACAGACCAAAACATGGCACAAATCCATGAATTCACTGACAAGTGGACTGAGCCATGTTGGTAGGTGTAGACTACTTGGTTGGGGACCGCGATATGATAGCAACCGACGGATAGAGACCTTGAATGACATGGCTCAAAATCGTTTGCAATGGCGCAGGTGCATCCACTCTTTGTGTTCTCTCAAAGTCTAATCTTCTGTATTCTTCATGTCTTTTATTTTCTTTCCAAATCTATTCCACTGGACTATACTCCTTAAATAACATCATCAAACCCTAATGTTCCCTATCACTACTTATACTCTCACTACCTCTACCACTATGGGATTTGAATCGATAACTGAATCTCTGTGCCAATGTGATATGGCAACTCGAACTGATGAACGTACGTACGAAGTTCCACGTTGTTGCTGACTGACTGACTGGTTGTATTATCTGATGTCCTTCATATATTGTAAGATAATCGGTTTGTGAATTTCTATATGAGATTTTGAGCTTGTTCATGTGTTTTATAGATATTTCTTAATATTGCGTGGATAGTTGTCCTTTTAAAAGAATCACCAGATATTTTTTACATCTAGCTTTTTGGCAACTAATTCCTACTATGACTAACACTGAGCACTGTACAAGGGTTCTAAACTAGGATTAAATGACCGAATCGCTGATTTTTCGAATTAATAAAGTTTGTGATAAACAGTAGATTTGAAGATATTTTGACCAAAATTTATGTCAGTTTTAAACAATCATATAAAGCGGATAGACGTGGAATATTATAGTTTATATCATGGTCTATCCTTAGATGGATAATCATTAAAAAAAGCCAGAAAGTAATTGAAAGTTGTTTCGTACTAGTATGGGACGCAATGAGCATCCACGACCGCACCGAGGATTGGGTTTAAGAACTTAAAGTCTCGTGGCAAGCGCTTAGCCTTTAAACTAGCCCTTATTCGACAGTTTTTAATTTTTAATATTAATCAATTAGCGATATTGAGCAACTATCTAGAAACACCTTACAATCTATACGAGTGGACCCGACTAATCCTCGACCTTCACTGTTATTCAGGGAACTACCTCTCGACGTTTGTCGCTAGTGAGAACAAGATTGTGATTATTAGTCTAAGGGACAAAGGTACATTCATTCACAAAATAAAATACTTTCTTACTTTTTAGCATTGTTCCCTTCAGATACACGTTTATCACGTTCATTTCTAGTATCTTTTTGACGTAATAGCAATTCTTTAAGTCGACGTTCAGCAGCCGCAGCAGCTTCAATACGGCGCTTTAGTACAGCTTGTTGCCGTTCGTGCACCGAAACCATACGAGACATCTCACATTGAAGCCGGCGATCATGTTCTTGAAGTTTTTTCACCTACATAGAATGATCAAAATTATAACACAAAAGCTTTAAAAAATTATCTGAATAACAGGCGAAGCGTGTCTTATTAAATAGGATTTCTTGAAACTTATGCCCCCAAATGCCCTGGTATGGTTGAGAGTGGGGTGGGTTCGCCCTCCCTCTCGAAATCCTCTCACATGGCCACGCGGATATAGCCTTTGACAGGGAAGTCCTACTCACCCCGAGACCGCAGCAAATCATCTTAAAACTAATCATCGGATTAATTTTACAAACTTACAGAGTAATACATAACATAAATGTTAAAGATAGATAGAAAAAAGTCAACCAACCTCAGTCTCTTTTTCTTTACGCCATTTTCGATAAGCAGTGCTTTCTTCTTTCAATTGTTTAGCTGATCGAATCATTGATGTTTTCAACGACTGTATTTCGTTTCTTAATCTTAAACATTCTGCTTCTCTAGCCTCTTTGGCTTTCTTTAAACGTGATAATTCAGTTAGTTGACGACGCGTCTGATTTAATTCTTGTTCCATAGTCTTAAGACGTGCTTCTCGTTGCGTTTTGAAACTGAGTTTTCAAAAGAGTATGACAATTAAACTTAGTATAATAAAAAATTAAACCACGGTTACCTGATAAGGTTTGACGTAGTGACGTTAAGTTTGGAGGAAAATCTTCATAAAAATGGTTGAGGCAACTATCGATCGGGTGTTCATAATAATTTTTGTAATAAATAACTTCAGAGAGCGCTATCGTCAAGTGATTTAACCTTGCAACCCAACGTTTTAGCAGTTTAACCGACTGCCTATCACTTTTCCGTATATAATAAAACTTAAAATTTTCGTACACATGATCTTCATCATTAACAATTAGCATGAATCAAAGTTTAACTACGAGATCGTTTTTGAAGATGTTAAAAGGTTGACGACTCAAAATTTCAACATCCACTAAATTTGAGTTAGGTACCATCAACAACTATTTATCCTTGAAATAAATTGTTCTTTATTTTTGAACTGCTTATTGTATATAGACTTTTATTAAATCAGGAGTTATTTACCATTCTATATTTATAGTCCTATTGATTTCCTCTCAGTGTGCTGACCAGATGTGACAAGTTGAACCGGTACATATATACAGTAAGTCATACGTTGGTAATTACTAACAGTGGAACCTTAAAATGTATAAATAATGATCATAATACATGAAATAATATGATCAATATGGTTTGAATCCAAGATAAGTACTATGCGTTGTACTTGTACTTGTAAAGATAAATCAAGATGAAAGGTATTAGGAAATTTATTCATTTTCTAATTATACCAAGCGATAGTTATATGAATCAACTACACTAGATATCCACTTGATATTGTTTTATTTGAATCTTCCCATTGATGTTTATGACTGAAATTGTTCAGACTCTTATTTGAAGCGTTTGAAGCGGACGGTACTGGGTTCGAGTCCCGGAGTCAACATCAACTCTGAAATGCAGGTACATCCAGCTGACGAGTCCCAAATAGGACGAAACGCGCGTCCTGAATTCCACTGCTAGCCACTATCCATCTTTGCTTATAATACACTAGATATCGTTCAAAAACCGTAACACACACGATTGATCAAGTAAACCCAAGTTTGATTAGGAAAGTGCATTAAATTAAATTCACGTCTAAGACACGTCTATAAGTTCGAATTATCATACACTGAGAATGTTTAGTACCTAGAGAATATGTAGAATATATTTATAAACAGCATACAATATGACAAGCAGATAAGAACGCATAGTTAATGGTAATGTTATACGGATAGATTATACTGAAAAATTTTTCTTAGATTAATCAAGCAGATCGTTTATGAAAGATACAAAACATAATACAAAACCTACTCTTTTAATTCTTCATTACTGTGTTCTGCCAACAGCTTGGATTTTTCTCGCTCTAAATCAATAACTTTTGATTCCAGTTCACGAATTTGAGATTCGTATTTTTTTAATAATAAACAATAAGATTCATCTCCTTGTTCAGCTGCAGCTTCTAAACTAGATAAAAGAACATTCTTTTGACGTATAGTAGCTTCAATTGTCTCAATCCGTTGTTTACATTCTAATCTACGTGCTCGCAGTTCGGAACCCCAGCGATCTATAATAATAGTAATCATAATATGATTTTGTGTTCCGGTAGCTATTGGGTATTAATTTATGTAAATCAAGCAGTCTGTTAAATAAATACAAGCTACAACTTAGCTTCCCATCCAGGCTTTATGAAATGAAGTCTGAATACAGTTTTATCCTATCTGATAAATGAAGAGATTCACCAAGATCTATGTAGTAACTCATTTTATATGTTACCTTAGTGTCTGGCCCAATGTTGATTATAAATGTAGTTTGTTTGGTAGGTTGGGTAGTACTATTAGCCGTCAAAAACAGTGGCTGTTAGGAATAGTGATAATCGACAGAAAGCCCTAGACTTAGGTTTCGTGCTACCTGGTATTTGCCATTCTTATGTTAAGTAGGCGAAGTTATAGGTACCAAAAATGACAATGAAAGCTCCTCAATTAAATCCCTTAGTTCATTCTGGTTTCATAGTATGCACGATCAGTTAGTCGGTGACAATGTAGCACTTAGTAAAAATTTGTATCAGCTCAAGTTGTCAAACTGAACATCGGTAGAGTAAGAGAATAAACTAAAAAGTGATAAGCAAAGAAATCAATATGATAATATCTAAGGTAGCTAAAGATTAAACAGGAATTTATTTCGAAAAGAATATATAAAATCGAGTCATGGAAGGAATGAGAAAGATCAAATATAACCAAAGACATAGAAGAAAATAAATAATGAATATATTCCGATTGATGTAATCAATTTTTAATCAGGTCACTTGTCTCCAACTACGGATAATCGCATGTACTCCTACAAACAAAGTCGACGCTTTCAGACATTATATCAATTCATGAAGCCTACTTCGGGAATGAATTATGTTTATTTTTATCACCATGAATTTTCTTTAAAACTACTTCCACACGAATCACTACAAGTGAAAATAACGTGTGTAAATCAATTTATTCTAAGCAGGTTCGTAACAATAAGAATAGATTTGTCATTTCTAAATCCAGATTAAATCTTGGTGTGAACATTAACACTAGGATGAATTTACATCAACCCAGTGAGTTTCAAATGCCCCCCCTATCCTGTTTATTTTTAGAGGTTATTTATTGAAGGACACCTTTAAAATAAATAAATATTGATTGTAACTATTTACTTTGAATTCATACAGCTTGTAAAACAACCAACATACACATATATGAGAATACTCAAATCAAGTATGTTTCGGGAAAGACAAAACAGTATTTTAAAGTTACATCTTTTAACTCAAAATGACAAACTTGGAAGCCTAAGGAGATTTCAAAAGACGAAGTATGAACAATTTTTATATTTTTATAGGAACTAATAACTAGAATTTTTTCGAGGATTATATATATATATATATATATATATATATATATATATATATATATAGCGATAAAATTTACCAGAGAAAGTTTCGTAACAAGTTGAAGTAGTAATAGATGCGGTAGTGAATCTTCATCGGCTGAAATGGTTTGGACATGTATCACGTATACCAAACAATCACCTACCGCCACGTATGACGCCGACCAATTTATGTGTGAGTTGGGCGAAAGTTACGGGTGAGATCAGGCCAAATGTAGCATCAGTCTATGAAGTCACTAACAATGATGCCTTATAAAGTGTCATGCTATTAATACTACTGTTACTTTGAATTATTTGCTATGGATTATATTTATTCCATTGTGTTAATAGGCAATGTGGCAAGTTAGATTGATGGACATTTGTGCCAAGTCCTATGGTTTTTATCATGATTAAATGACTGACTATTGATAAGTGTGATGTATAAATTGTTTCTATAGAATGAAGTTTACAATCGATTAATTTACGCAACTATTATATTGACATCTTTGATTGATAAACAATATATAAATTTCGTGCTTTCATACACATAGTTCCCTTTATCATTTTGAAAAGTTATATTTATTTATTTATTTTAACACATAGATATTGGTACAAGGAGGCACCAAATACATATGCGCCACACGAATCTCAATTGATTTGTGTGAGCGCTGTGATACTACCCGGGTGCCCAAACCGAACAACGTGGTTTTCTTAGGGAGCCACAACCCGAGCCTTCGACCTGAACGTCTGACTCACAAGGCAGTGGAGCATCGTGAGGAGATGCAGTCCCATGGTAGCCGGTGACCAAGAAATTGGTTCATACGCCATTTGTTCCTTCAGGATACTGGAGCTAGCCCATGTGCTCCATTGGTTTGGGATCCGGTTAAAGCGCCGGACATTCGCTTTTCGTCCTCTCATTTTAGTAAAAACACCCCGCCACGAGAAAGCAGTGAGTAGGACTTCCTTGACAGAGGCTGTATACGCATGGCCCTGTGAGAGCATTTCGAGAGGGAGAGCGGACTCTCCTCACTATCGGCCGTACCAGGGCATTTGGGGGCTATAGTATATGCTAGACTATACGAATATGTTTTCAATATAACTTCTAACCAAACCCTCTCATGTTGTAAGCAGCTGATTAGAATCTACGAAATCAAATGAATTCATGCTATTCTGCTAGAATCTTTGTTCTTGCTCTTTTCAAAACTTTGTGGTTATTCCTTTTCATAAATTTTCAATATTCAATATTTAATTATTGTAAATTAATGTTTAATGAATCACTACTAATAGTAAAATGAAAATTTTAAAATTTTTGAAAAAATCCACTACTTACCAACAAGTTGAGGTTGAGTTGTAGTTTTATTACTGCTCAGATTTGAAATACATTTAGCATTATTGTTATTAACATCGATTTCGGTATGAGATTTTAATGGTATCTTTTCAACTACTACTAATTCTTCTTTATCATCATCATCATCATCTTCTGCATCGAAACATGTACTATCTGATTGAAATTCAGCTAGAAAATCAGATGATTGTTTATAAGCATGTTCTAAATCTTCATTTGTAATCTAGAATTATGTTAAATAAGAAGAGTAACACAAAACAAATGATATCAACTAGTATTAAACAATAAAAATTTCTTATAACTTAACACTTCAATAATAAATGATCATTAAATGTGAATTAAGATGGCTATTGATGGATATAAGATTCCCTTCACAACAGAACTATTTTTCATACTTCTCACATTTGGGTTTTTTTAATTTTTAATTTTTTTCTTTTTTGAACTTTATAATTACTGTAGAGTCATGATGAAAAACGAATTGAAGAGAAATTTCTTCGCTCAATTTATTCCTTCTGTATTTATCAAATGTCAAAATGGGAATTTTCACTATAAGATGATTTAACCTTATAATAAATGTATATGAATTCCAATCATACAGGATTGTAAACACGCTATGATGATAATATAGGGCTAACTAGAACAATAAGTAAAGTAGGTTTTCTTCCTGATCATTTCTACATGTACAACACTTTGATATAGAGATTCTGATACGAAAATTAAAAGACTAATAGATTAAGGTATCATACAGAATTCCTATGATGGATTAAACTGCAAAATTGTGCGTGCAGGACAGTTGACAAAGTCGTTCGAAGTAAAGACCGGTGTCAAGCAAGGTTGCTTACTCTCATCCTTTCTCTTTCTCCTGGTGATCGACTGGATCATGAAGATGTCAACATCTGAAGGGAAGCACGGAATACAGTGGACATCTAGGATGCAGTTGAACAATCCAGATGATCTGGCTCTTCTAACGCAAACGCAAAAACAAATGCAGAAGACGACGAACGTAGCAGCAGCCTAAGCAGCAGATCTCAATAAACGCAAAGGGAAAAGCAAGATTCTTTGATATAACACAGCATGCACCAATCAAATCACAATTAACGGAGAAGACTTGGAAGATGTAAAAACCTCTACATATCTGGGCAGCATCTTTGATGAACACGGTGGATCTAATGCAGATGTGAAGGTGAGGATCGGCAAAGCAAAAGAAGCATATTTATAACTGAAGAACATCTGTAACTCAAAACAACTGTCAATCAACACCAAGGTCAGGGTTTTCAATACAAATGTTAAGACAGTTGTACTGTATGGGGCCGAAACCTGGAAAACTACGAAACCCATCATCCAGAAGATACAAGGGTTTATTAACAGTTGTCTATGAAAAATACTTTGGTCCGACAC